AGTTACCCAGCTCGATGCGTTCGTAGTCTGAGTCGAGCAGGAAGGTGCGGAAGCGGTTGGACACGTAGTGGTAGGCCAAGAACTTCAGGTAGTACTGACTGAACTCAAACTCCATGGGGAACTGGAGGTGGATCTGAGGGTGGGGGGGGGGCAGGGAAACACTGGTCAGGATTACATTTTAAGACATTTCACTTTTATCTCAAGGTATGTTTGATGAACCCTCAATCAGTTCATCTACTGCACATTAATTAACTTCGCCAGGGAGGTTTTTTTTTCATTTGGTTGTCAGTCTCTTGTTTGCAGGATTACACAAAAACTACCAACTGATTTCCATTTAATTATGTGGATCTGAATCCGTTTTTTAAACATTTTGATTTGTCAAAGAAATATTCATGTTCTTGATAAAAATCTAGAGGCTTGATAAGTGGATTGTTGGGCATTGGCGGAGGTATGAGCTCTATTAGGGTATCATTCTACTCTATTTTTGTATGTGAACTAAAATAGACATATACATATAACACGCAGTACAGATGTCAAGTTGTTATAAGTTTGTACTTTCTGCTCAGAAAGGTGCTATTTTCATAAAGCACAGAGGAAATAAACTCAGGAAACAACTACAACAGTATTATCATCTGTAGGAACAAAAGGAATAGTGAGAGAATAGTCAGATCCCTCAAACAACACATCCTGCATGTGATAAGAACAACAGACTCTACGTCACACATCAGCAAAACAGGAAGTAAAGTCAGACTTAAAGGTAAACACACAGACAGCATTATTAATTAGTAGGAGAGAGGACCAAGTGTCTGGTTAGTTTGCAGGATTCTAATCCTAATTTATACAAATCTCTTGGCAAATTAAAGCAGCTCTGACATTTCTAGAAATTCTTGCATTTAAATAAACTTCTGTTATTTTCAACCTGATTCTGATCTTCACTTGTATCTCAACAGTGCAGGTTGAAAAATAAAGGTGCACCTCTGTGGACCCACCTGGTGCACGCAGTCGAGGAACTGCAGGAATACGGGAGTGAAGCCGCTGCTCTGGCTGCCCAGCGTCTGAGCTCCACGTTGGCTGAACTTGTGGCCGAACGACAGCCACTCCTTTTCCACTAGCAGCCGGAAGCCGTCAAAGGTTCTGTAGTAGGGGTCGGACAGCAGCTGCACCAGGGACACCACCTGCACACAGACAGCACGTCACACTAAGCTTCACTCAGAGATCACTTCTCAGCAACGTAGTTTAAGGGTGTCGGTCAGAACCTGTGTGGTTACGTCCCAGCCGTCCTCCAGGCTGACCATGACCGATGAGCCTGTATCCAGGAGTTCCACCACCAGGACGGACACCTGCAGCACCCTGTGCAACTGGACACACAAAGGGACACATATTGTCAGAACAAATAACCTACGAGGTCACACAATGTGCTGGGACATTACTATTTCCCCATCCTGAACACACAAACACACAATGATGGATGAAAACCATTGAGCACTTACCAGAGTCATCCACTCAGACTCTTCCAGGCACCGCAGGAAGCTCATGTTGGGGTCTAAGGTCTGGGAGCTCGGCACGCAGGCTTTCATCAACTTCTTAAAGCTGTTCTTCACCTGCCGCACGTCACACACCTCGATGGGAACCACCTCCCACTGCTGGAACGAGTCCTGCTTCCCTCCCTGAACAAGACAGCATTAGTTAAATTACTGTTTCTGAATTGGTCCCGGTATTAATCCAAAGTGTTAAATTCTTTAGGCCCTTCAAACTCTACACTAGAAGGATTATTCTGTTCCAGCACTGTGTCCTTCATCACCTTGAGCTGGGCCTTGTCTCCGATGATGTAGAGGAAGGCCTTCTGCTGGCGCAGGAACAACGCTTCGCTTGGACCTCCATTGGGCTGCGGAGACTCTTTTCCAGCCAGACGCGTCCCCACGTCTGGGTTATAGGCACTTAGACGCCCGCTGCCTCGGATACTGCCCCATTTACCTGCAATACACACACAGCAAGCTTTTTTTGTCAAAGGTCAGAATATAACTGATCATCAAACCGTGCGTAGAATCATAACCGTGTTAAACAGCCTTTAAAGAATCATTCCAAGTTATTAGGACTCATTGGTGGAATTATCCTCAAAAACACACTGATGTGTAGAACATCCCAAGCTATAACCAGCCATGCTGCTAAACACAGGCAGAAATGATTGACAGCTACAGTCCAGTCTGCTACACCAAGCTGCTACATTACGATGCCACTCAGATTGTTAACACTCAGAGAAAAAGAATCAAACAGGAAATGACAGACATCAGACAATAGAACTGCACCAAGAGCTGCATGCACACACCGCAGCTCTGTGGTAAACAAGAGCAGGAACAACAGACCATTAGTCTGCAGAAGACAGCACACAACCAGGCATGATGCCAGACACACTGACGCTACAGTTAAAGACATCTGATTGGTTAGAGAGGAGTGGAGGGAAAGGTGTGGGGAGGGATCGTGGCCTACTGTACCTCTAGGAGGGTTCCTGGCCTTGCCAGACACTTTGGGCTGAGAGAGGGAGATGACTTTCGCCCTTTGACCCAGAGCTGAGGTCAAATGACAGAGACGGCCCGTTAACCAACAAAGCCACAAAATGGAGGATGGTTTTGCACATATACACACGCCCACACACACATGGATGGATGGACGGACTGCCTCATTCATCGTCCTCCTGGACCAGTCTCAGTTTCAGGTTTAAAACATAGTTCACGCAATTTATTTTGAAATTAGAACCATGACAATCCAACTGATGCTACAGGAGCAACACACAAGCACAAATGGGTGTCTCACCTCCTCTGCTGAAGGTTCCAGGAACATCTTCCTTGGTTCCCATCACCTGCTTCATCAGAGCGCCGATCTTAGGCGGCCTCAGCTTATCTGATGAGTCTGTGTTTACATCAGGAAACAACACAACAGTTCTGTTACTTCAGTTTAAGACACTACTGGATATTGGCGGTGACACAAAGTGAACAGTGTGATAATCCACCCACCTGAGGTGCTCATATGTGTGGAGGTGAATCCGCTGAGTGTGTTCCTGCCGCTGCTTTCACTATATGAAGGCATGGAGCTGATGATGGCCTGCAGGTATTTCTCCTGCTCCAGACTGGTGGACTCTGCCTGGGAGGGAACTGCAGAGAGACGACACACATGAAGAAGATTTTTGATACTGGTGAATTTTAGCGGCAAATAAGCTACAAAAAGACACTTTTTTTGGACGAAGCCATGTACACTAATGTCTTCATCCTCTGCATCTTTGACATTAAATACCACTGGAGTCAAAGTGTCAGTTTGTAACCTCTGGACTTCTTATTAGTTGTCACTAGTGTCTTTGCAAGTGAGGAAATCTGCAGAAATGAATCATGACACTTCCAAAATAATGGAGCACGTCAGCATCATTTTAATAATAAGTTTAAAAGTTACATAAAACCTCAGCTAGACGCCTAAAATAGATTTTAGTTTTTCACCTGCAGTCGGGGTGTTGGGGGACTTGAAGAAGCCCACGACACCCTTAGCGTGGAGGCCTGCGGAGCGCAGCAGGACGGCCTTGGTTCTTGAATTCCTCCAGCAAACCACTGGGAAGCGGTTCTGACGGTAGCAGCGGCAGATTCTGTGGATGGTCGAGTCTGGGATACTCTGAGGCACTATCAGCAGGCCGGGGTAGCTGTGACACACACACAAACACAAAGTGTATTAAACACCGAGGAGATGCTGTGCATATACAACCTCTCGCTCCTTCTCTGGTGCGTTCTCTCACCTCCTGCAGACGGCGTACATGCGGTTAACAGTTGAAATCCTGAAGGGCTCGTTATTCGAGCGCGTCAGGCTGTTACTGAGTGTACCCAGACCCAGGCGCTGGTAGTCTCGACAACACGCTCGCTCCACCACGTTGCTCATGGTCTGTCTGTCGGACGAGCGGATGGTCGAGGAGAGGGTGAGCGAGCTCTGCTGGTCCACCTCTTCCGAGACTGTGGAGACAAACAGGAAAGCTCATCAGATGTCCTTCATTTCAATAACACGAAATATAATTAAATAAAAAAAACGTTGTCAAACATACTGAGCCACATGTTTGTATATTTTCTTCAAATTCACTGATGTGTCACGGAGAGCAGATGATTTTCTGACTTTTAGAGCTTGATTTAAAGCTAAATATTCTTTAGCAAGTCATGTCCTCTCACTGCTTCTATTTTAAATGTTAAATATATTAATAAGTGGAAATGTATTGTTTAAGGGCAGTTAAAATACAAATAGAAGCTGAAATGGCAGTTGAAGTGTCAGCACTGAATGACATTGACGTGTATACATTAAATGAAGCTGTGGTGACAGTGTAATCACTGAAAGTGGCTGAAGTCAGTGAAAAGACAGGAAATTAAAGCAGTGTCATTATTGAACGAAATTAAACTTAAATAAAAAATAAATTAGATTCATCTGTCAGAAAGAATATGAGAATGAATCACCAGCTGTGATATGTGTGGAAACCTGATGACAGTTGAAGTGGGTGCACTGGAAGTACTTGTAATGTCAAACTAAATGTTAGCTCAAGGGTAAAGTGAGTAAGTTAAGATAAGTCTCCAGTGTCATATCACCCAACAATGTAGTAAAAATAACAAATCACTGAGCTTACCTGAGATTTCATCTTCATCCAGCTCTGACTGGAAGCTGCTCCTGTTCTCCCAGGTGGGAGGAGAATACTTCTTCCTGGTCACATACTGCCGACCTATAGTCCTTTTGGCACTTTTCACCAGGTTCTTGGAAAGTGTCCTGAAAAAAACCAGGAGGTGTGAAGAGCAGATTTGAGTGTTGTTGAGTGTTTCCATCAGTGCAAAATTAAATTAAATTAAATGCACGCACAAACAAACAATCAATCTAATTTTATTTGTGTATCCCATATTCCAGTTCCATAACTGTACCAGTTCAGAGTCTGGCATTTTCAGACATGACTTGTGGTATCTGTTGCCGTCATGTATCAAAGAGCTCCATGTGAATGTCTGTAGCACAATACACTGTAACCTCATATGACCTTTAGCCTAGAAAAATATGAAGGACAAATTCTTGAGCAAGAGGTGCTAATTAGTGACTTTGCTTCAGAGGGATATATGAGCTCGCCAGCTGTAAATTAAACTGTTACAGATGTGAGCAACACAGGCTCCTTACCTGAGCGACTGGTTCTTGTCCTTGGTCTTGTGCTCCACCACCATTTTCCCACATTGACCCACAGTAAAGGCAAACGTGCCCTGGACGTGCTGAGGATACCGCAGCTTGTGCATGTGCTTCCTGAAAACCTCGGCCAGGTCTGACGCAACCTCCTCATCAAACGCAATCTTCATTAGCTACAGTCGTACACAGAGAACAGTGGAGTCAGAGAAGAGAGAATCATGCAGAGAATATAAAAAATGAACGGGTCTTGTTGTTTATGAAAGGAGCAAAAGGTGTTATGAGTACCTGGAAGGTGCAGGAGCGTAGCTGCAGCCCCTCCTGGACAAACTGGTCCATGGGTATAGTGACTGAGATCCTCTTCTCCTTGGTCAGAGAGGCGATGGGGAACGAGCGAGTGACCACTTGTTCACCCACTGCAGGAAGAAGGTGCAGACAAAGAGCTGGGTTTAGAGGACTTACAGATCTGACCCATGCCTATCGGCGTGAAGTGTGTGTGTGTGTGTGTGTGTGTGTGTGTGTGTGTGTG